CTTTTATGCCTAGATTGACTCACGGGTCAGGAAGGCTATTTATTTTGTAATCCCTCCTCCCACCCACTGTCCACCTGCAGTGCTTCAGTTTAGATGAATCCTATTCATCTCCAAATTCAAGGAGTCTTTCTTCTCTTTTGTCCACTTTTAATCCCCCTGATTAAAAAATCCCCCTGAAATTCTGATTTCAGATATTGCATTTTTTAGTCCTAAGATTTCCACTTGAATCTCTCTTGTTAATTTCCAAATCTATTTTGAAATGCCCATAAACTTTTATGTTTTTCTAGAGTCTTTAACATATTTTTTATAGTTATTTAGTCATGTCTGCTAAACTGTTTGTGGGTCTCTTTCTACCGACCCATTTTTTTTTCCTTCAAACCATGGGTACATTTTCCTTTCTTCTCATTTACACACACATGTGACATTGCAGATAAGACATGGCAGTCTTTATAGGTTATCTTCCTCTCAAAGAAACTGCCTAAATGAGCAAATAACTCACAAGTGAGTCACCTCAAATTTGTGGAAGCTTGATTTTTATGCTTTGTTAGGGTCGGCCATTGGCTTTGCTCTTCCTCCTAGGGCCAATTAATCAATCTTGGGATGTAGTATTTATTCCTAAGGCATAGGAGTTTTCAATGGAAAGAATGGGTGTTTCAAAGCTCCTGTCACTGGGTAAGACATGAACTCCAATCTTGTTTCTCCTACAGCAGACAGAGCTAAAATAACTGTGCAGCTCTTTCAACCTTTTGTTTGCTGTTTCCTTTTGGGCTCCTTGGAGTTTCACTAGAGGAGGGTCAGAGTCAGGGTCGGAAAAGGATTTGAAGCATGGCTCCTTCTTTTCCTGGATTTCCCCCTGCACCTTTTAGCCATGATGGCAATACCATAATTGCAGGAAATGAGAGGGCCCTTTTCTGCTTGCATTCTACCCACACAACAGAAAGTAACTTCCAGGAAAAAGGTGGTTCCCCACTTTAAGAGTCAAATCCCCTTCACTTTCTGCCAGCATTTGGTAACTTCAGTGTTTTCAAAAAGTTTTTTTTTTCCTTTTTCCTTTGTTCATCGTTTACCATTGTTATCTGATAAAAGCCACCCTGCCATTATTGGAATTTGAAACCCATTTTAAGTGTTCAATGTCTATGATTCTGTGATCTGTAATAGGTGTCTTTTAACATTCAGTTCCTTTTGCTCTTCTGTGTTACTTTTCTTCAAATAAATAGCACTCTTATAGAATTCAGACTTTTAGAGATGTACCACTTTGACGTCATCTTTTTAGTGCATTATTACTGGCTTATGTGATTAAAAAACAAAACATCACAGAAGGAAACTATAAAGTCCATACACAAAAGTGGCACCATATGCTCAAGTTTATTGAACAGACACAAGTTACACATTGGAAACTAAGCAGAACACTGTACCAGTTTTCACTAACTCAAATCAAGTCAGCAAATGACAAATTTTAGAAGACGCTCATTTTATGTCTCACCCAATGTGGGTGATCATAAGAGAAGCTTAAAAAGAAAATTACATTCTATGTTATTAGATAGCAAGTTAATTTGATATACATAGCTTCCAAGTTACTTTGAGATATTTCAAAGAATTTCAAAACCAGTAGGGAATAGCTCATGCCCAGCTTGAAATAAAATGTAGAATGTACCTTTTAGGGGTAAATAACTTCATTTGTATATCCATAGCAGAATCACTCCTTCCTACTAATCAAAAAATTACTGAGTCTCTATTTAGATTAGGTTTACTAAATTAACAATGACTCTGAAATTATCTAGGTTTGGTTACATTGTTATATTGCACTTGAGATCAAGAATTCAAAAATCCAGGACTTGGTACCTCTCCCAAGAAGTTCATTATCTATCAGAAATTACAATGAAATATACGCATATACGCATGCTACATGTCCATAGGTTCGCTGTTCAACCTAGCCTACCAACAAGTTAAAAGGGATACTCTCCAAAAACCAGAGCGTTATTTCATTGGCCATTTTTGATCCTTTATTCAATTTCTGAATTTTGCATTTTTTAATTTACCAAACTACCCCATATACACACTACCTAAGAGCACTTACAAAGTGGCATTAAGATCGGCAATGGTCCTACACATGTATTCCAAGAATGACTTATTCTTCTCCAAGCTTGGTGTTACACTCTGCAACACAGAAATCTCTATCAACTTACAGATCGTTTGCTTTATAAAAAGCAGCTGAGGAATTACATACTGTACTTCTGCCACTTACATCTCTCTTAGGGTCATCATTAACCATCAAAAATCGTCCACAGTCCTCTTAAGGAAGCCATTATAATAAGTATAGTCTCTTTTCCTAACACTTTAATTTTCTCTTTATATGAAGTATTGATGAGAATTTACTATGAAGTAGTAGTTTCATAACACAGGTAAAATTGTGGCACTAATGTTTTAATTGTTTTACACTTCAGAATTATTAAGAAATGTATCAGAATTATTACCATAATAATTCAGCACAAGAGAAAGGGAAAGGGGAAAAAAGGAAAGGGGAAAAGAAAAAAGGAAAGAATGTCCCCCACGCAAATGTTTCTCAAAGTATCAGTTCTAAAATAAATGCCTAAATAAGAAATCAACAACAGTATCAATATTTCTCACCAATATGAAATGCTTTAAATATCCTCTACCTCACTCATGTTTTTAAAAACTGATCAGATTATAAAAAATTTACACTCAAGATGGAAATCACAAACATAGCAGTATTTAAAATGTTTGCAAATTAAAATGGCTTTCATAGAACTATTGTTTGACACTTTAACCAAATACATTCACATGCTGCTTTAGGGTAAAAAGAATCCCAACATTTTCCCAAACATTTTCCTTGAAGAGTAAGCTTCCCAATTATACTTCTACCATATGTTTGTAAAGATATACATTTTCATTTTTTAAAATACTATTGCTTAAAACTACAATTCATAAAGGGAATTTAAAACATCATACTTCCAACAACATCCTTCAAGCTCCCATACAAGATTATACCTTGAGAAAGAGGCCATAAAAGGAACAGAATGTGCAAAAGTAAACAGTAACATTTTTTTTTTTTAAGAGTGAATTTCTATCCAACATATACTTTCAGGGATGACTATTATAAGGTGGGAAAACAGGTAAAGTGAAAGTTGTCACAGACCAACTTAGTGACTGGTGGCAGACCCTAGGATAAAAATATTTTTTTTCTTAAAAAACTTTAGACTTACTGGCAATAAAAATACTTACTGAATATGACTATGACCTTTTAAGCTACTAATGAAATCTATACTACAAAACCTATTAATTTTGAAATTCATTAAAGCTAAATACAGGGTCTTGTCATGTTCTAACATAATATAACTCACGTACCTCTGTTTTATGAATATATTCTGGCTTAGCCACTTGTGTAGGGAATTGAACACAAGATAGGGCAAAGTAAACCTCAATTATATTTAAAGCATAGAAAAATATTCAATTATTTAAGGGAAATATTTATCATTGCCTAATGAAGACAGCAGTTAAAAACTTATTAAACTCACAATTTCTAAAGCACAACATGATGTAATTGCACAAAATAGGTAAAATTAAGAGTCATTCCCAGACCTTGAGGAACTGTGAATAAATCAGATATTCCTCTAGAAGAAATCATCACCCTAGAGGCATATAAAACTATAACATGCCACCTGTGCAGCTTTTATATAAAAATTCCTAGAAAAGTAATTTATGTTAATAAAACTACAAAAGTTTTAAAAGGCTCCCAATAACTTGAATTGCTTATAAAAGTAACTTTTAGAAGTCATTTCGATAGCAGAGACTGCTTTTACCCGTGATACCTTGCTTACATAAGGTAGTATCCACAGGAGTAGAATCATGCTGTTGCTAAAAGCGAACTAGTAAACTACTTTAAGAATTTCAGCTCCAAGCATTTCTCACGGGGTTGGGAGTTTAGATGCAGGTTCCTGCAAACTGTAAAAATCCCTCATTAATCTCAACCTATTCTTAGTAACAGTTTGGGAAATATAAGGAAAAATACATATACAGGAAGAAAATAAATTAATCCCAACTAAAAATTCTTGCTCTAAAAGCGTACCATTAATAAGTAACTCTACCAGAGAACTACAAACAGAATCTTATAATTTAAATGCTTTCTTTTGTTGTTGCATTGTAAATATCCAGGCATATACATTGGAACACATGTACTTTGGAAAGGATTCCCATCTGCATATGGCTTTAAGCATCATTAGATCAGGGACAATTAAACTATTACACAAAAGAGGCATTTTTGATTATAAACTTTTTAGTATAGATTGGCTTAAAGGATCTGAAATAGAACCTAAACTTCAACAAATTCAAATGTACTGAAATGGACTGTGGAATAAAACAAAAATAAAAATGTAATAGCATCTACCCAACTGTCATATTAAAATACTATACTTTTGCTATTCCAGGAAAGAATTTTGATGGATCTGCTTTTTTTTATTAAAGTTTATCATGTAGGTTTAATATTTTAAAATCCAAGTTCATGCAGTTATAAAGTTAGAAGCTTAAAAACTCAACTGTAGTGTAATGTATATTAACATTAAGTTCCTGCACAAAAGATGTGGATCCGAAGGTCCAAATATGGATTGCTTTGAAACAACAAAAACAACAACAAACAAAACCCAACATACAAAATCAGAAACAGTAATTGTAGGAGGTACTATTTTGTATAAAGTGGTAACTCAGGCACTACCTGTCTTATGTACACAGAAGAAGAACTATCACTTGAAATTTTATTATTTAAATATCTAAAAAACACAAGTCAGTGGATGTGCATTAAATGTATGTCTGAACTTAATTATTAGAAAAAGGTTGACAAATATTGCTCTTGTTTTGTGGTTAATACCAACAGGCACCATCAGCAGTACAGTCTTGGAATTTTATTCCTTGTGAAGGAAACTGAAACCTATGATGAAGGTGGTAATTCTCATGGGTCAGGATGCAGCATAACTTAAAAATCACTGTTAAGTTTCTGAGTTTCCTTCACCATTTTCATGAGGTTGAAGCTGTTCCCTTTCTTGCTCTTCCTGAGGTGGCCGGACACGTTTAAAAAAGCCCATCTGTCAGTTGAGGAAAAACTAACATTACTGCCACATCAGTGAAGAATATTACAAGTATTCTGAGTGACTATATTATCACCAAGAAAACTTAAATGGCACGTCGTACAACTTCCTTAAGATATGCGGTGCTCCTCTCAACAATAGCCAAATTATGGAAAGAGCCTAAATATCCATCAACTGATGAATGGATAAAGAAATTGTGGTTTATATACACAATGGAGTACTACATGGCAATGAGAAAGAACGAAATATGGCCCTTTGTAGCAAGGTGGATGGAACTGGAGAGTGTGATGCTAAGTGAAATAAGCCATACAGAGAAAGACAGATACCATATGTTTTCACTCTTATGTGGATCCTGAGAAACTTAACAGAAACCCGTGGGGGAGGGGAAGGGAAAAAAAAAAAAAAAAAAAAAAAAAAAAAAGAGGTTAGAGTGGGAGAGAGCCAAAGCATAAGAGACTCTTAAAAACTGAGAACAAACTGAGGGTTGATGGGGGGTGGGAGGGAGGGGAGGCTGGGGGGTGGGTATTGAGGAGGGCACCTTTTGGGATGAGCACTGGGTGTTGTATGGAAACAAATTTGACAATAAATTTCATATATTGAAAAAAAAAAAAGATATGCGGTGCTCCTTATGTATCATCAAAGTTCCTTCTCTATTCTTCCTTCTTTCCCTTCTCCCTTGCCCTTTTCTTCTGCTTCTCCCCGCTCCTGCTCTTCCTAAGTCCATTACTTACCCTGTACATTACAAACACCAAAACAGCCAGCAACAGCAATCCTGCTAACACTGCTAAAATGATCACCCACACAGGCACGGGCATGGGTGCGGGCTGAATGCCCCACGTGACGTTAGTGGTAACCTGGTGGGGGCAAAAAGGTTTTGAGTTTTAAAAATAATTCACCGAATCATTCAACAAATGTCTAAATGCCTACTACATTTTGTTTTAATGATACTCACATTATTTTCTTTTGTTGTATATGATAATTTGTGATTGATTACACATTTGGTATCAATAGCATGCACATACACACATAAAATTCCCAACAACAGGTTAGCTTCAGAAGTGATAAAGTGATTTTTAAATAGTTAAATCCATCTTTGATATATTAGTCCCATTTTTAATCCTTAAATTAAAGATCTTTATAATCTTTAGCCTTCACCTATTATAGTTAATTTCCAACTTTCTAACTTTGTGGGGAAAAATTCCCCAAATTTCCACCCATGAGATTTGTATAAGCTAAGAATCTCTTACACAGGACAAGATGCTAAAGTAAAAGGTCGACCTGTAATATTCTGGGGTGAGGGAGGAAAATAATATTTAACTAGGTTATAGACCTATCAACCAACTTTTAAATCACCAAAACAGTGAAGGTGCCAATATTTAAAATAAAATAAAAAATATCTATGGCATTGGACTGGGTGCACTTATTGCATTTCCCCAAATCGATGACTTACTAATGTGGAGTTGAAGATATCCTCAATTGGAAGGTTCTTATAAGGAAACTCAATGACATTAAAAGAAGCAGATGACTTCAGAGAGTATGAATGATTCTGGTTTTCTTTCTGTATGGAAATAACAATGAAATGATTTCCTAGACAGGAGGCCTTTTTCATGTCTTTGAGAAAATGGATAAGCTGGCTGAATGCTGCATCTGTCCACTTACATTCATAAAGGTCTCAGTCCACAGCAGGGACTTTACATACAGGATTGCACTCTTTCCTCTGTCTAGTCGTCCAACCTGGCAGACAATCTTCAAGCACTCAGCAATTCCACAGCCCTGCCAAAACAAATTCTCTACTTATAAAAAATTGTCTATCATTTCTTCAGCATATGAAAATTGGACATTTTAGTTGTTTTATGTGAAAGCCAAAGAGATGATACAGATTCTTTTGCATTATAAGAAAAATGTTTAAAATGCATAGGCTAATAGTGGAGTCTGAATGCTTTTGCTAAAAGGGGTTGGTTTACGGGATGCCTGGGTGGCTTAGTCAGTTAAGCGACCACTCTTGATTTCAGCTCAGGTCATGATCTCATGGTTTGTGAGTCTGAGCCCTGCATCGGTTTCTGCACTGACAGCATGGAGCCTGCTTGGGATTCTCCCTCTCCCTCTCTGTCTGTTCCTCCCCTGCTCCTTCTCACTCTCTCTCTCCTTCTCACTCTCTCTCTCCTCCTCACTCTCTCTCTCCTTCTCAAAAATAAATAATAAACAAACAAACACAAACAAACAAACAAACAAATACAGGGGTTGGTTTTAATGCAATGTGGTATAAAAGGATAAGACCTACAATATTAAAATATATATTTTTATGGCTAGTATTCAACATCCTTTAGGTAAACCCAGAGCATGATCATTTTAGTAAGACATGAAAATCAGATTAACAATACACCTGTAGAAAAGAAAAAGAAACGGAATGAATCTTGAGCAGCTCTTCCACGTTTCTGCTACATTCAGTGTTTTTATCAGTAACTTGAAGGCAGGCAGTCAAAGATAGCAAATATTCACCACCTTCCATGTGCTGGTCAAATTGCATTAGACATGTCACACACATAGTCACAACGCTACCCAGCAAGTGAACTTGCAGTCTATGACAAGGAATAGCTTCTTTGACCTGAGGAAGGGCATCCGTGAAAAGCCTGTAACTCACATCACACTTAATGGGGAAAGAACAAATGCTTTCCCCTGAAGGTGACAAATAAGACAACAATGCCCACTCATTGACACTTTTATGAAAGTTGTTCAGGAGGTTCTAGCCAGTATAATTAAGCAAGAAAACAATCAAATAAAAGTCATCCAAATTGGAAAAAAAGAAGGAAACCTCTCTCTTTTCAAGATGACAGGATCTTGTATACAGAACACACTAAAGAATTGACAATAAAACGACTATAGCTAATAAAAAAGTACAGAAAAAGAACAGAATACAAGACTGACAAACAATTAAGTTGCATTTCTATATACCGGTAATGAAAAATCTTAAAATGAAATGAAGAAAACAATTTTATTCAAAAGACCACCCCAAAAGAATAAAATACACAAAAGTAATTTAACCAGGAAAGTGCAATACTTAAACACTTACAAGTACAAAGTATTTTTGAAAGAAATTAAACACTTAACTAAATGGAAAGATATCTCATGTCCAAGAACTGAGAGACTTAATATTATTAACACGGCAATACTCCTATATTGATACAGGTCCAATAAAATTGCTATCAAAATTCCAACTACCTTTTCTGTAGAAATGATCAAACTGATCTTAAAATTCATATGGAATTATAGAGGACCCTACATAGCTAAAACAATCTTGAAAAAGAAGAAAATGTTGGAGGGCTCACACTTTCCAATTTCAAAACTTACTGAAGAGCTATAAGAAACAATTTGGTACCGGCATAAGAATATGTATACAGACCAATATTAAGAGTCGAGAGTATAAAATTTAGAAAACCAAAAAACTTAGGTGTAAATTTTCAGGATGTCAGGTTTGGCAATGGTTTCTTGACTGTGACAGCAAAAGTACAGGTAATAAAAGAAGAAAGACTTGACAAATCTGAACTTCTTCAAATTTGAATACTTTTCACATCACAGGGATACTATCAAGAAAGTGAAAAGACAACTAACAGAACGAGAAAATATGTGCAATAACAGCTCTGAAAAGGGAAGTATCCTGAATATATAACGAACTCTTCATGACCTAACAACAAAGGCAAACAACCCAATTTAAAAATGGGCAAAGGATTTGAATAGACATCTCTCGAAAGAAGATATACAACAGAAAAGATGCTTGACATCATTAGTGATTATTGGGAAGTACAAATAAAACCACGATGAGATACCACTTCACATTGACAAGGATGACCATAAATAAAAAAAAAAAAAAAAAATTAAGGCAATAGTAAGTGATGGCAAACGTGGAGAAGTTGAAAAATTCGTATGTTGCTGGTTGGGAATGTAAAATGGCACAACGACTTTGGAAAAGTTTGGTAGTTTCTGAAAAGTTAAACAGAGTCCCCATATGACCCAGTAATGGCATCTCTAGATTTATTCCCAAGAGAACTAAAAATATATGTTCACACAAAAATGTGTACAAGAATGTGCACAATGGCACTATTCAAAATAAACAAAAGGTAGAAATAATCTAAATGTTCATCAACTAATGAGGAAACAAACAAAATGCCATATACCCACAGAACGGAGTATTATTCAGGCATAAAAAATGACTGAAGTATTACTGCATGCTGTACCATGGCGAACCTTAAAAACATTATTCTGAGTCAAAGAAGCCAGACACCAAGGCCACATATTTTATGACTGTCCAGAACAGACAAATCTTTAGACACAGAAAGCAGATTAGTGGTTTCCAGAGACTGATAGCAGGGAAGAATACGTAGTGACTGTATAATGGGTACAGTATTTCTTTCTGAAAATGATGAAAATATTCTGGAATTAGATAATGGTGGTGGTTGCACAATGTTCTGAGTATACCAAAAATCACTCCATTGCATACTTTAAAATGGTTAAAATGGTGACTTTTATGTAAGTTTTATCATAAAGTTTTTTAATGTCGTTCTGTAGGAGGATAGAGCACACAGGATCAAAAGTAGGGTGGGGGTTAAAAGTAATTTCTATTTCACATGGGTTGGTCAGGGAAGTCCTGTCATAATCTGACATTTAAAGACGTAGAAGGAGGGGCGCCTGGGTGGCGCAGTCAGTTAAGCGTCCGACTTCAGCCAGGTCACGATCTCGCGGTCCGTGAGTTCGAGCCCCGCGTCGGGCTCTGGGCTGATGGCTCAGAGCCTGGAGCCTGCTTCCTATTCTGTGTCTCCCTCTCTCTCTGCCCCTCCCCCATTCATGCTCTGTCTCTCTCTGTCCCAAAAATAAATAAATGTTGAAAAAAAAAAAAATTTTAAAGACGTAGAAGGAGATGGGGAAATAAGCCACAGGGAAATCTGGACAAGGAGCATTCCAGGAAGATGGGAGAATAATTTTCAAAGCTTGGATGTAGAAACATGCTTGGGGATGTCTATTCAATGAAAAGCAAGGTAGCAAAAGCAGGAGGTAGAGAATAAGGAGAGGAAATGCAAATAGCAAGGTAGAAGGGCCTACATTTTGTTGGGCCTAAAGGCTTTGCATGCTCAGGCTTCCTCTCGGACTTAGCTGGGAAGGCACTGGAGTAACATGACCTGATCTCCATTTAAAAGGATCGCTATGGCTCCTGTGTGGCTAACTGTAGTGGGGGAAAAGGCAGAAATATGGAGTCCAGCTAGAGGTTTAGCAACAGTCCACGTGAGACACAAAGGTGGCCTGGGTGAGGCTGTGGCAGAGATAAAGTTGCTGAGAAGGGACCAAATTCAGGGTCTTTTGAAAATAGATACTGAAAGAATTTGCTGATACCGAGGATGTGAGGTTTGAGAGAAAAAGAGGAGTCAAGGTGTCCAGGTTTGGGACAAAGAAGGGAGTTGATACACTGTAGAAAGAGTAGAGTTGGGAAAACATTCTTAGAATTAAGTTTAAGATTCTTACTAAATATTTAAGAGAAATTCCAGTAGGCAGTTGGATGATGGAGCTTGGAGTTCAATGCATAGGATCAGCTTCAGAATGTAAATCAAAGTCATCCAGAGATAGTATTTATAGCCACGAGAGTGAATAACATCTCTCGTATAGCACTATCTGATTTGAACTTCCTACGATGATAGAAATGAGCAGTACTGGACATATCTCTACTTCCCAAAGTAGAGTAAAATGTGGCTGATGTCTATAATATTAGACAGCACAGATCTAATCAATGAATACATGCAGAGCAGGCAAGAAATTTGAGGTGTGAGCCCTGGAATACTCCACAGACGTAAAGGTCTGGAAACAGAGATTAGGAAGTAGCCAGTTGATGTAAGTGAAGTAGTAAGAGAGTAGAGTCCTAGAAGAGAATGAGGAGTGTTTCACAAAGGAGGAAGTGATAAATTATGCCAAAAGCCACTGAACAGTTGAGGCGGATGAGAAATAAGAAGAACTATGGAATCTGCTGATGTAAAAGTAACTGGTGTTCGCTAATGAACATAAACACTATACCAGGTTCTCTGCTAGTGGATGGTTTGAAGATCTGTTAAACTTCAGAAATTTAAATGATTAGCCTTTATAACCTTATAGTCATTACACTGGCTGACTCAACAAAAGTTAATCATAGCGCTAATTATTCTTGTAATATATTTTTGTTGATGCCTCCTGGGTTCTTCTTCCAATATTGCATGAAAGCCTCCGAGATCAGGATGAGGTCAAGAAGGAGGTCAGTTAAAGGAGTAAGCCAGAAAAATAAGCTGGAACATGAAATATTTTTATTAGCAATTTATAAAGATAGATCATTTGAAGAAACTCTGGTGTTAATTTGAATAGGAACATGGAAAGTAAGAGGAGTGAATAGTATAAAAATATATGTAGTTCTTCCAAGCACAGCTGTTGTTATTTTTGAAATGTTCTTTGGCATCAGTTCTATAATCACATATTTTTAAATGTTTAAAGTGCTTGTTGTTGAAATGGCGCTTACCAAAGTGTGAACATCTCCTTCACTGAGGGTGAGATCCCGCTTAGTGATGAGATGGTTCCGGTCACCTTGCCCAGCAATTGTGTCATTCTTTTCAGTTTGTGAACTTGAGATCTAGGGTTACAGAGAAACTGGTGGTACATAATATTGGAAAACACTCTGCACTGACATTTTGGCATAAACTGCTACATGTGATTAAAACATGATGACTGAAAATGTGGCATGACAAATTCACCACTTAATATATGGTGGAAAGTAAGCACAAAGAATAAAGATCAGAGATTCCCCAATATGTGGGAAAACGTTATTTCCACCGAGCAGTGATTTTCTCCCTTGCACAGCTAGAGGGGAAACTGATAAGACACACTGAAACAGCCTGAAATGTCACGGTACATATCTGTGATAAGTGTCAATCATGAGTATATATTTTTTTGTTCTGTTTTCTAGTTAAGAAAAGAGCCAGGTTAAGTAAAATGTTAGATCTTTCTCCAAAGACAAAAATTTCAACAACAAAACACCCCTGACACAATATTGTATGTGGATAAACCACAATGCAATGGAACCACAGTCAAATTAGGTCACTACATAAATAGATGACTCATTAGGACTTCACAGAGGAATGAATCAATCCTTTCTCATTATACAAATAAACAATTTAATCCTTAGTATACTGGTTATGAAGTAAATTATTTCTGTAGAGTAGGTGTGTGTATTAAAATGGTTGTTTTATTTCATGCATTTCTTTCACAGATTTAGAAAGGAAAGCTTTAAATATCATCATAATAAAGAGTTGCTATTAAGCACATTACCTTAATTCTCAAAGGGTTGATCTCCATATCTGAAGTACAGTTCATAGGTCCATCAATATCATATTGAAGGATGTACAACAGAGTGTTATTGTTGTATTTGTAAGGCCACTGAAGATTTAGCATTGCCTTGCTGAATGAACTTGGACCATTGTTTCTCAGCTAATGGGGAAAAGAAAATGTAAATACTTTGAGCAAAAATCAATTCCATAATCCCCCTCCTACATCAACCTTAGGAATCATTAGTGATAGGATTTGAATAACGGCAGAGTTTCCAGTTATTCTGACGTTACAACATGATCATTACGAGGCAAAGGAGATCAAACTCAACATTTATCTCTAGTGTAGTGCAGTATGTGTCAGAATGAAAATATAAACAAAAGAGGAACGTATGGAAAAGTTTTGATGAAAGTTGGCATAGAAAATCTTGATGATCTGCTACAGGCACTTTCAATTTTTAGGTAGAGCTGCAAACCGTCCATATGCAAATACTCAGCAATGACCTAACGGCTGTTATTCAAGTAGAACTAATTGGTTTTGGACAACAATTTGTATGAAGTGCATTCTTTAATCACTTGAAGCTACTTGTCTTAAAAAGAGGAACTTCTGAATAGGGAAAAAATTCAAATAAATCTCTCGTACATCCTTAAACTATGCAGAGTTTACATAAACACTAAACAAACTTGTTTTGTTTTGTTTTGTTTTAACAAGTAGCCTATCTGTTCTTCTCTTTAAAGGCTCTCTACCAGGTATCAGTTAAAGTCAACAACCGCAAACCTCATAGATGTGCTGAACAACTGGCCCAACATCTTCTTCAGTCTCCGGGCTCTCCTTATGCTCCCAGTTTGGAATTGGAAGAAAGATATGATCGGGACTTGAAACTCTAAACAATGACCAAAGAAAACCTACCATGAATACCAAAATGATATGGTCAGTTCATTTTCAAAAGTACCCTGTATCCACATGAATAAAATCAGAATTAACAAAATATATATATTTAAAAGGATGGGGCGCCTGGGTGGCGCAGTCGGTTAAGCGTCCGACTTCAGCCAGGTCACGATCTCGCGGTCCGTGA